TATTGATTTATTTCATATTCAACTCTTGCAACATAGATCCAGAACTTAAAATGATGGAGAAATAATTTGCTAGTGTCCTTATTTAAAAATATTGAATTCACGAGTTTTATGTTTTAAAAAAAAAGAAGCAAAAACAAAGTTTGACTTAAAATCAGAGTTATTTTGTTTCAATAAATCTACTTAGCTCATCTGTTGTGTTAGTTTTTGTGCTGCTGTAAAGTTTTATGTGGACTCTGAAGGAGTTGTGGCACATATGTCAAGGTTATGGGCGGCGCTGGTGCTGCTGTTGTTGCAAAAATGTGTTCCCCTCAGAGATATCAACAGTCTATTGTGTAACTTTCCCCTGGGGGATCTTGTCACAGTCAATGAGGCAGCCTGCTTTTAAGGGTTAGGATGATGGTTCTCATGGTCTGTTTTTTTTTTAATCAACAAAAAGGATCTGTGTCATGTTGTGTTCAATCTTGTTTCTGTGAAGATGGACAGACTCAGAGGAATGAACAACTGAGACTGTTTTTCATCATCATCCAGTTCCTTGTTCCGCATTTGGAAACCCAAGTTGGATTGAAAGAAAGTTGTGTAACATGTTTAACAGCCAGCAACATGAACACAATTTGTATCTGTTCCAGCTCTTTATGGTAATTAGAGAAGTAGCATCCATAACATGTTTTCTCAGCTGCACCTTTGATGAAACGTTACTTCAGATATCTTGTGCATTATTTTATGCCCATTTCACTAGAATTCACATAAGATTATAAAATGCATTCATGTGAATAGGATTTAAATTTGACTGGACAGAGAGAGGTAACATCTCTGGTTCATTTTTCTTTTAGAAAATGGATTTAGTTTCTGGGAAACAGACGTGACATCATGAGCAGGACCCCCCCCCCCCACAAAAGAAAAAAAAAATCCATGTAGTTTTCCATACACACTCACACATGACCACCCCACCCACCCATTGGAGTGGTGGTGACCATGCCTTATGGGAGCAAGGGCGTCGGTCGGTACATTCAACTGCTCTCACTCCTGAGGAAACTCCACCCGCTCTCACACAGTAGAAGACTGTGTATGCATGCATGCGTGTGTGTGTGTGTGTGTGTGTGTGTGTGTGTGTGTGTGTGTGTGTGTGTGTGTGTGTGTGTGTGTGTGTGTTATAAACATGTTTGTGTTGTCACCAGAAACTTGAAAAGCCAAGGACAACAAGAATCCTATTTTACACACTGGTAAAGTTGACAGTCAAGAAAAATGGAACCGTTACACCTGTGTTTATGTGTTTGGTAATATTTAATCTCGAATGTCATCAGATCGCTAGAAAAAGACACAAAATGACCACACACAGATGCAAAACAAAGGAAACCATTGAAATACACAAAGTGAGTCCAAACATATACAAAGTCAATGATTCTTGTTGGAATGGGGGGGGTAGGAGCAAGTGAGATTTCTTTAAACCCACAGTTTCAAACTGAGGGTTATGGACATTTCCGAGAATGCCTTGCAAATCACCGGCAAAATGAGAGACAGACCCACAAATGTAGTATTTTCTCTATTGATAAGGATTTAAAAATTAAGATAATAATAATACAGCTAGCATGTTAACGTTACATATGATAATCCTGTATTTTTTACGCAATATCATGTTGCACCCCCCCCCTTTAAAGATACACAATGTATTTAATTTAACTAGCGTATAGCAGCAAGGTTACTGAACTTAACTGCTCCTCTAATAACAAATCATCCTGGCAGGGTTGCCTACAGACCACTGCTAGTAGCCTGAAGCAGTGTGCTTTTGATTTATATGTGAAATAATGCAGAGAATCCAAGCTTTTCAATTTCCATTGGCTGAATGGAAAATGTCATTGTGCTGTTCTGGTGGTCTTTCTTCTTGAGACGTAAAGGACATTTTACATGTCTGTGTCCAGGGGTGTTTCAACCTCATCATTTGTCTACGTGTGTGTGCGTCACCCTTGTCGTCTCTGACCCAGTCAGTAACAATGCAGCAGTAAGTCAAGCGCAGAAGTGCACACCGCTGACATTTCTTCTTGGTGAAGTACAAAGACAATGAGGACTGTGTCAGTGCGGTGAAACCTTACACCGTGATGCCAAAGAAAGAAGAGACAGAGTTAAAGCACAGGACTCAGCACTTTGTGGTGTGTTGAAGTGAAACATTCCTCAGAAACAAGTGGTTCTCCAAACCCTGAAGTATCCAGAGTGTGTCTGTGTTTGGGTGACCGTCACAGTGAACATCTGAAACTAGGTTTTACTAAAGGTCTCTATCAGGGTAATATTTAAAAAAATATGATGAAAGTGTCATTGTTGGCTGTAATTATTCCTCCTGTCCACATGGACTAACAGAAATCCTCTGCCATTCTATTCAAGTGATAGACTTGATTCAGACATGTATTGAAGCTAATATGAGGCTTCAGGAGTTTTAATGACTTGTTATCACGTTTGTTTTCATGGACAATGTTTCCATACTGAGCTGCTGTTGGGGAGGACATTTTCCATTAATGACACTTAAATTGGAAGATTAACATGATGGGACAAACACAAAACTCAAAAGATAAACTGTACACAGAACATGTGGATTGTAAGATGAGTAATAATGAATAAGTTTAAGAATTTTTCTTTACACTACCAAAAACTATTTTTGCTTGATTGTGTATTGTTTTTAACCATAAGACTGTATAAAAAGATTGAAAATGACTTCTCCCAAGCATTAGTGTCTGAAGCCAAAGTGTCTCACCACCTAGTGGCTGGTTGCAGTATCCATCCTAAATCCTGACCCCTCCATGTTAGTAGATTGGTCATGGAACAAACCTAAAGTACATATCCAATATATTTTCTCAGAGATGTTTTCTGTCATTTTAGGTTATTCTTATCACACTGATGTTTGATTAAGTATTGATTTTCCCCTATTAATGATTTAATGCTGTAAAAACGGATTGAATTGCCATGATTGAAAGCTGAGACGGACTCACGATTGGTCGAGCTATCAATGGCTTCAATCTCCTGATTGCTACTGAGCTAACTCTGGCTCCAAATGCTGCGTAGATATCCACTATATTTTTGCCTAATTTCTGGATAGTGAGAGGAAGTGGAGATGTGGTGTCCATGTTTACATACAGTCCACGGTCATGTCATACAGGGAAGGACATTTTGCAGTTGTTGCAACTCTGTTGGACCAACCACATGCAAACTGTCCTGATCACACTGAAGGAATAGAGAAACCCAGAGTCCTAACTGTAAGAAGCTTTCATATTTACGGCATCCCGTTTTGTAAAACCTGCTCTGCCGGTAACAAACACTATTCAACCTTCACATTGTGCAAGAATGGGTGAATTAGCTTCTTTGTTCTTACCGGACATTTAGAAATAAAGAGTCTCAACACATTGACCACACAGTTGTAAAGTTTTCGTATGGATTAACTGCTCAGCTAACACCCCAGTGTGTTTGATCATTGTATGCTCCTTTGGAGCAAAAAAAGCTTAAATGATTTATATCTCACATGAATACTTGTCCTGTCACTTGTGGTGAACATTTCATTTGCAACAAACCCCTTGATCAAAAACCAGCAAGTCTTGTTTAACTGGTAACAAACTGTGTAATTGTCCCTGCTTCAGTCCTGTGGACTTTCTGTGAGAGCTGTAAATGCTTCTGCTCATTAAGCTGGAGTTTGGCTCCTGAATCCTAATGGACATGTGGCGGTGGAGCTGAGGGCAGGCAGCACTGACAAGGCTCTTATTGTTGAAGTGTAGAGACCGAGACAGTGATTGACCGAGCGAGAGGAGGAATAGAAAAAGATAGAGGCCGAGAGTTACCAAGCCATGAGGACAAAGATAAACACGATGAGCATGACACAAAGAGCTGCTCTTTCATAACAAACTCTGCTTTCACAGCATCACGCTGTTCTGACTCACTCAGAACCACACGTCTAAAACACACGAGTCACCACCTGAACACAACCTGTCTCAGCATCACATGAGTAATGACAGGAGATACCGTTTTTTCAGTCTGATTTTCAGGCAAATGATAATTTCGGATTCAGCATGGAGGAAACAAAATCCTGCTGGTTTTAGAGGTGGCTATAGAAAAAGTTTTTACAATTGTTTTCTAATGTAACAGGTTGATGGGAATATGTAACAATATCATTATTAAACACAGACAAATAGACATTTATGGAAAGTTTAAACAACCATAGTACAACATAAAAAGAATACTTCTCAACTGATTTGCTTAACCCTAACCCAGTTTATTGGTCCAACAGCTACAATCTTCCTATCAATCGTATCTCCACCGACGTTATAATGTCTTGTTTTTGTTGAAGCTGATGTATAGAGGTTTGGAGTCTATCAGTATTTGGGGGGATGTAGTTTGTGCTGCAGTTAAAGTGTATTGTATTTACTGAGAGATGTTTCTCTCTTAGCATGTGAGCTCTGAGGAAAGTGATGACTATCAGGAACATACTGAGACTGTGGATGCACAGTTGTATATTATGTTGGAGGAAATGATTGATTAGAGAACACTGTAACATGTTGCCTTGACTACTAACTTTTCACTTTGAGCTCAAAGGGGAGGGGGCTATGGGGATTCTGGGTGGAGTATCACTTTAACATCCAGCCCAGGTTTCCACACAGGCACTTGCCCTAAATTAGCACAATAGAAAGTTACATCAGATCCTGTGCAGCCTTGGAATAGTCCACACCACTTCACTGCAGTCATTCACGAGGACTGAATGTCTGTCTCAGCACAGAAAATGAACATAATTAAATGGCCATGAAAGAAATTAGGATTACATTCACAGAAGAAGATTGAGATACATCATTGGAAAAAGTTTGAGCTCAGTTTGTGTGATACATACACAACAATCACTTTATTAACATCAGCATTTTAGTTTGAAAAAATAATTCTTACTCAAGATCCATTCATTGGCTTTTTTGAAACCTTTAACCTAAAGACTTCATCAGCACAAGGGATTTTATTGCAAGATCAGAAGCTGTTATAGACCAAATTAAAATAAACCTTTCAATTATTACTACCAGTACACTGACGATGGGGATAATAAAGCTAGCCTCAGTTGCACTAGCTTGAGAGTCTCAGTGCAATATCTTCACTATTACATTCATCTACCTTTTTATATGAATAAATAGTGTTCCCTTGGTTTACTCTCTATGTTGTAAAACAAAGTGGTATCCGCTACAACTCAAGTTACTTGAGTCATTGTAACTTGGTTTTGTCCATTCAACTTACAAATAACCCTACAGCACATGCAAATCATGAAATTATAATAGTTATAAGTTAAGGCTAACTGTATATTGTGTAAATAAAGCAAGTTTTGAACCAAAGCACAGCTCAGATATTGAGGTCTGAACTGGAGAATCAGTACACCAGGAAATTACAAATGTCAATGCAGCAGTGTATATAATTTTCTTCTGGAACAGAACTATAAATCTCTAGTCCAGCATTGGCTCTCCTTACATATCACAATATGACAAATGTATAAATGAATCATCATGTTGTTACGTATGAGTGTTTTCTATTGGATTACAACTAATCTTTAAAGAAATGGCAAACGATGATGAGCCATTGTGAAGCCATCAACCAAAGTGTTATGAATTATGTAAATGTGTCACACTCCAAAACAGGTCAATTTTTAATAACATGATCAGAAATACATTAACAGAGGCAGGACATTTACACTGACAGGTCTTTACATCACGTGTCTGTTGTGTGGTTATATTAGTTTAAATCTGTTTGCAATGCATTCCTCTTATTGTAACTGATAAAGCAAATACAAGTTTGGAGTGTCACAGTCAGATTAACATGTGAGTGATGTTTACATATGGGTTCATGCTATCGCTGCTGTAATTGTTGTTATCTATATTGTGTTCTTGTCTGTTTGGAGATTTGGAAACCAGATTTTGATTTGATGGCTGCTCAGACCACAATGAAATGTCTGCACCACGTTACAAAGTCTATGCAAATAGTGGTTTTTGAAAAGAAAAACTTTTCAGGGTTCAGTCCATGTTTTTCGGGTTGTTTCTCAGGGGTTTGTTGGTGGCTTGTTTTTTTAAAGGGGCAGCTGCCAAGAGTCTCCATGGAGATGCTACTGTTCACCAGCTCGAGGAAAACACTTCCACTCCACTGCACCAGTTGTACCTTTTCAAGAGCTTTCCTCCTATTTGCTCTGGAATCTGATCCTTAGAGTTTTTTTATTTATTTTTTAACAGACCCCTTTTCTCACTTGTTTGGCAGTTTTCTGCTGGGTTTGTGTTTTCCCTCTGGGAATGAGAAGTACTTTAAATACATACAAATAACAGGAGGGGTTAAATCCTGGGTGAATTTATACACTGCTCAAAAGAATTAAGGGAACACTTTAATCCCTCATCAGAAGTTGAAAATCTTTACTGATGTAAAATCAAAATCATAAACCTATTGCTGGACGATGTTACAGGCAGCATAATATTCACCACAATGTCTCCAGACTCTTTCACGCCTGTGCTGCTGCTTGGTTGATGCCCTTCCACTGCTCTGTGCAGCTCTCCTCTTGTAACAGCCGGTCTCCTGGTATCTCCTCCATGCTCTTGAGACTGTGCTGGGACAGCAAACCTTCTTGCGATCGCACATATTTAATGAGCCATACTGGAGGAGCTGGACTACCTGTGCAAGCTGATTGGGCTGCATGTACCACCTCATGCTACCAGTAGTGACACGGACACTATCAAAACACAAAACTAGAGAAGAATCAATCAGGGAGGATAAGGAGAGAACAATCGTCTGTGGCCACCACATGTAAAACCATTCCCTTTTTGGGGGTTGTCTTGCTTTTGTCTCTCCATTCATAATCACTTGTGCTTCCTAAATGGACAGATTAATATCCCTTAAGTTTATACTGTGATAATTTAGTCCCTTATATTTTTGAGCAGTGTAATAATCCCTCATCTTTCCTTTTTTTACATCTGTTGTGTCAAACATGAATCCCCAGCTCACCACAGCTGTTGTGCTCTGCTGCAGGTGACTGATAACTTTGACCGTCAGGACTTCAACAAAATGTGCTGGACTCTGTGCTCCAGGAAAAACCTGCAACAGAGTCAACTGCTCATCTCCAACGACGACGCCTTCAAGATTTGGTGCATCTTCAACTTCCTATCTGAGGACAGATATCCTCTGATCATCGTCACCGAAGAGGTGAGTGTTCAACACTGTTGTGGAAAATCTGCTGATCAATGGTCAACTCATCAATGGAGAAAACGTTCAGGAGCCCTTTGACGTCTTAAGCTGAAATATTTATTGAAGCTTGGCTTAGGAAAAATCAGAATTCATCCATACAGCATTTGTGCAGGATGATGAACCCCAACAGATCATTTAATCTATGGGTGTGGTTGTTTCTAAACAATCAAATGTATTTTCTAGTTATGGAGACAGTATTGCCTGCTTACGCATTCTCATATCTGTGATGTCTAGGGAGTGAAGGCTTTGACCCGCCAAGCTCTCGTACTTCCCAAACACAACAGCCTGTTGCACTATGCCCCAGAGAGGACAAGAGACAGTGTCTATGAAAATTCCATAACAAACACACCCAAAAATCGAATTCTGTGACAAATTCCAAAGGCCACAGTGACTTCATCAGATGTGTGGTTTTGCCTGAACAACAGGTCAAATAGAATAAACTTTCTCCTGATTGACTAATTAATGGATGGACTAATTGTTTTATGTATAACTCAGTAACCCATTTAAAGTTCTGTTGTAACAAGTGAAGAGATTAAGAGAGAAGATAAACTTCCAAAAGTGTAGAATTAAAAAAAGAAAATCGTGTTATTTAAAATCGCTTCTCATCAGTCTCCTAGATCTCCACGTTGGAAAAACACGTTTTTAATGGTTTTAAAGAAATGGTTCCTTGCTTGACCCAATGGGGGAAGTCACACTGAACAGTATTAGACTGATAACTTCCCACTTCTCTCATTGCTCATTTAAATGAAAACATCACACAGGCCAGACATGAATTCAGAGCTGGAGTTGAGCTGTACTTGTGTAGATGTGTTTTTTTCACTGCTACAGTTAAAAAACGTCTGTCGCTGAAGAGCAGAAAAGGAAGTTTCCAGCTTCCTGTTCTGTTACAAATGCTGGAAGATTTATTGTTGGGTGCTACAAACATCAGAGATGAATCACTGGAAGATTGTTTGCAGAAGCAAGTTGTATGCTGCAATTAGCCAATGTCCAGATGAATTGTGGGAAAAATACAAGACAGGCATCTTTGAATATAAATAGCTGTATCGCTTCAAAGAAAAATCAGATCGATCATATTGTTTTTGTTTATGTGATGATATGATAACATTTCAAGGTCTTGTTTTTGTGTATTATTATTATTGTGTTATCTATCTGTATTTGTCTCTGTGCACAGATCGAGTACTTCCTGCATAAGCTGACGGAGGCGATGGGTGGCAGCTGGGTGGAGGAGCGGTTCGAGGACTACAAGCTGCAGCTGGACTCGAAGCAGCAGTGTTTGAGCGCCTGGGAGCTCATCAGCCTGGTGGGTTCGGGTCACTTCAGTAAAGGCATGGACCGTCAGACGCTCTCCATGGGCATCAACGAGGTCTACCAGGAGCTCATCCTGGACGTGCTCAAACAGGTGAGCTGCAGCCCTGCACAGACTGAGCTCTGATCGTTCATCTTTAAGGGTTGATTTCACACAGAACTAGAATTTATTTATGTTCCATGAAACATTGAAGATTGTAGGAGGATTTACTGTAGAATCGTTGTATTAGACTGCACTCGTTTGTCCATAACATGATCACACACCCTGCAGTTTGTTTTGACTCATCCCACTGTTCTGCCCCTGTAAATGTTTACAAGTTTAATGTGCAGCATCAGAGAATCCACTCATTAAATGACCAGTAGATGATGAAACTCTTCTTGTTGGTGTAAATGAGCCCTGTTTCTTTCTGCAGGGATTCATGTTGAAGAAAGGTCACAAGAGGAAGAACTGGACAGAGCGCTGGTTCATGCTGAAGCCAAACTCCATGTCCTACTACGTTGGCGAGGACTTGGCTGATAAGAAAGGAAACATCTTATTGGATGGAAACTGCAACGTGGAGGCAAGAATCCAATGTTTCTCATGGAATTTATTCTTAATCTTCTACATTTTAAAAGCGCAGCTGAAAGCTCTGTGGAAATGATTAATACTCTTCCTGTTTGCAAATATTAGTGTATTTATTGTATATATTATTTGTCCCTTCAGCCTATACCTGACAAAGAGGGAAAGAAGTGCCTCTTCATCATCAGGTCGTCATTAAAAAGTTTTGAAATCAGTGCGTCGGACAAGAAGAAGAAGCAGGAGTGGATGCATGGTGAGTAGAAATGAGACTTATTACTAAACTGAAAAACTTAGACATTTTTATTTTCATTACTCACCTGATAATCGGCTTTTAACTCTGCTGACATGGTGACTCACTTCATTATTTCTCACTCATTCATTCCACACTGCTGAAAGAGAGTATTAACCAAAGTTGCATTTTTTTGATGGTGAAAGTTGAGAATATTTCATTGACCTCAATAGAAAACTGATATGTGAATATAAAATAAAATTAAATAAAATTTAATTAAATATCAGATTGGGGTGCTCAGGGTTGAAATATTTGAAACTAAAGCCCAGGTTGTTCTTCATTAAACTTAGAACAAAATGTGTTATCTGCTTATTTATTTCTCAATTAATCAATAATCATTTATTATATGCAGTATAATGGCCGAAAATAGTTTTATTTTGCAACTTCAGAGAATAATAGAAAAAAAATCAGCAGATATTGTTCCTTGAAAGATTTATGAAATGATTATCAAGATAATTTAGCAATAGGGATTATTCTCCATCACAGACTTATAAACCTGAAATATATATATTTTTTAAATCAATATCATTGTATTTTTTAAAACTTGAGTTATTGATCAATGCGTAAAATGTCAGAAAATTCCAAAAAACAACATATTGACTCATTCAAATTGACGTACTTTGTCTGAGCAAAAGCCACAAACCCAAAGATGCAGATTGGATTTACAGGTGAATCCAGCTTGAGTAGCAAAGAAGCTGCCACCAGAAAAAAAAAAAAAAGAAATCAAAATCACTGACATTATTATTTTCCTCTCAGCCATTCAGACCTGTGTGAGTCTGCTGCGTCAGGGACGACCGGCGCCGCATTGTGAGGCTCGGCAGAAGCGGCGGGAGCTGCGATTGAAGCAGCAGGCAGAGCAGGAGGAGCTGGAGCTGAGGATGAGGGAGCTGCAGACAGCCAACGAGGCCAAACAGCTGGAGCTGGAGAACATGAGGAAGGTGAGGAGAAAACCTCAGATATATGTGCCAAAAGCACAACACTAGTTCAAGTATGTCCTCAGTAATAAAGACAAACTAAAAACTAAACTTTGCAAACAAGGCAGAACTTATGGCAGAGCTGTTGAACTGCACAATTAGCTGTGGCTACTAAATGTACTTTTCTATAAAAGAATAAAATATGTTGTAAAGACCCGGAAGAGTTACTGACAAAGATGAGAGGCTTATATAGAACAACAACACTGAAGTGGACTGGTGATGAAAATACATGTGTGGCAAAACAGGAGGATTGTGCATCAGTGCTAGAGAGATCAGAATGTGTTTTCTGTTTAAATATGTGCTCAGCAAAGAAGAAGTTAGTCATTCACTGGAATAAGTTGGTAAAAAAAACCTGAGGGATTTCCCCAGAGGAGAATTATATACCTATAAAGTTAAAGCAGCCGACTCAGACAAAGTTGGAAGGAGATGTTTTCAGATCCTGAAGGAAGAGGACATGTTGTCCCGAATAGTATCTGAAGCAGCACTGGCTGTATATCTTTGACAAGGACATTGTGTAGCTGCTTAAGACAAACATCTTCATAGTTGACTCAGCACTTTGGATATGAAGTGTCAGCTCTTTACTTGGAAACGATCTCAGATAAATCTCTGTTCATCCACTGTTCTCTGAGTTCTTTTGTACTCTCATCATACTGAACCTGTCACAAAATGAAGAACATCAAACGATGAAAGGTTCTTTTTCTTTTCTTGTTCCACTAGTTTGTGGCATGTGATCATTTTACAGAGTATCTCTCCTATGGATATAAGCTGAAGTCAACTAGAATGGCACAGTGGAGCACATTCCTCTGCCAAGACCCCCCAGTTCCCTTAAATTCCATCAAACTGCACCAAATTTCCTTACATCAGTTCCTAAGTGTTTTTCATCAAGATCCATGAATTTATGCTGTAGAAATCTCAAAAAACTATACTATATATATATAAACAATATTTTTTCTCAGTGTTAAAGAAAGTGAAAAAATATAATAAAAAAACAAAACAAACAGAAGCAAAATTATTGTAGTGTGATTTAAAAAGTCAATATTGTGCTTTAAAATAAAGGTCACAAGTAAATCTTTTATAGTGTTCCCCATATTTGGAAATGTGCAGCCTATATGGTTGTTGTGGGGAAGCAAGACAACACAAACCTAATAAGAAATATTTTTTATTACTTTCTAAACAAGACTTTGAGGTGGACTTAAACAGTAAGAGCAGGAATTAGAGGTAGCATTGTTATCTGTTAATAACACTGCACTGGCACAGGTACTCACAGTATCAGTGTAGTGGGACAGGAGGACGACACTGTTGCGTTACATATCACATCCACGAGTCAGGAAAACTTGTATCTACACACAGAGCAGCAACATGTCCACTTGTTTGGCTCAGTGTAAACAGGTAATGGTGCCAAAAGGAGGACCAGGATCTGTTTTCATTATCCTACTTCAATTAACCTGACATCACCCATCCTGATCACATATACTATGAAGTTTCTTATCCAGCTACGAGAACATTCCTGTGACAGAGGCCGAGTCTGTGATAATGAGTGACATTGAGGAAAGTTCTTGACATTCAGCAAAGTGAAACATTGGTGGTTTACCTCGGTAACAAGTGAAACAGCTTCATAGGACTGCAACTCAGAGTAAAACCTGAGGTTACCTCAGTAGTACAGGCCCCTGATCGTCTTTATAGGAATATGAGTTGAAAAGGGAACCCTTCCATTCATATAAATAACCGCAGTGAGTTAACACAACAGTTTCCTGAGCAGAGAACTCAGAAAATAAGTCTGAACATTTGACAAAACACCATGCAGCAGCAAAGTTTCCACTTTAATCAGTGAAATATGTTAAACGCATGTTCCTGTGAGATTACTCCCTGTATTTCTGCCAGTTATCTCAATATAAAGATAAAATGACTGCTGCCATGATGACTTCTCTTCTTATAAAACTTACAAAGCTTTGTGCATAGTGTCAGTCTGATTTGATGACACCAACTGTTACAGATAGAAGTCACTGTATATTATTTTGTGTCTAATTCTGTAGTTCCTGGTGAGCTCGCTCTGTCAGAAGAGGGAAATACTGCAGCTAATGATTCCTATCAGACGTGTCGTCACTGCCGGGTCAGTGCGGCTGATGGCAACATTCCTCAGATCAAACCATGTCTATCATGTTTAGTGTTCTTATAAATGACACCGTGAATATATTTTTGTCTATGAAACTATTTGTTTCAATCACACTCTGCTTCATTATACACAACTAAAGTAGGTCACCTAAACACTCATGGAGTTCAGCTCCACCCGCAGCCTCATGAATAGTCTGTCACTTGGTGCAAACAGAGGAATGTGGATTGAACTGAGGGGGGTAGGACAAGTTTCCATCAGACATGTTTTTCCCGTTAATCTCCCAAAACCTGAGTCACACCGCAGCCTGTTCACACTGACTGACTGGTCATGTTGACATTCAGTCATGATGTGGATTTACCTGATGATGAATAGCTGCTTCCTGTTAACACTGTAAATGGTTTAACAGGAAGTGTCAGTTTCACAGTGGAGAGCTGACGTCGTCCGAGCGGACTGTAGTTTTACACCTTTAGCTGTTAAAGTTGAATTATTCATTTATGGTTGTAGACGTCAGAACTTTAAAATAAAGCTGTTTATTTTCAGAGACGTTTTTTTTTTCGTTTATTCACATCATTGTAATATTTACACTCAACAGATTCACCTCTACTATATTTTCATCCAATTAGATTCTACGTTAAGGAGGATCATAATGTTCAGTTAAAGGAAATGTGTTTATTATTGAGGCCATATGTGACTGCACTGGTATTTGTTTCCCATGTGTAGACAAGACCATGTCCCATAGTATGGCTAGACTGTCACTCAGTCAAACACAGCCCCTTTAAATTCAAACAAGCCCCACCAAATTGCACACACTCATAAATATCAGTCCCCTAAATATGCACGTTTCTTTTTTAATTAAGATGTCTGCATTGTAATAGTTAGAGAGAATTGATGGCTCTCTGAGCTCAAAACAAAATGTTCATGGAAATCCATTTGAATGATCGTATTAACTCACGTTATCGTTCAACTCAATAAAAACACAAACTCCACAATTTGCAACAGGTTTCCCGCACATACAGGACATGTTGCATCATTATGGCAAGAGTTGTGTACAGAGCAGTAGAGAACAGTTTGTGTTTGTTGGGGACAACGCTGCACAACAATCTGCCATTGAGGTGCAAATCTCAGTCTCACAGAGCTGATGGCCTCAATGCACAATGGACACACATGCATGGTTACAGAGAGAGTCTCATGGTGGTCTGCACAAATGATTGGACTCTCTGTCTTACACACACACACACACAAATATACAATAGTGACCCTGCCTCTCACACTATACTGCTGTACTGCATTCGACATACAGTTCACAGCTGGATTACATAACTTAACATCAGGTTACTGCTTAACAACCCACAATTTGGTACTCACCTATTATTATTATTATTATTATTATTGTTATTATTATACCTGCTCTAATACATTGAGGGTTTTATGTGCTGCCCCATCAACATATATTCTGAGTTTATGCTCGGTCTACAATAGCAAAAAAAGGGACGTTTTTTAACAAAAGGCACCCAGAGACTGAATGTCCATGTTTGCTCTTTATTCTCACACATTGAATCTTGTTACCTTTAATTATTTCTGCTATTCAAAGAAAATAGAAATTCAGCAACAAACGAGCAATAGCACACAGACAAAAAGGGAAATTAACGAAGCACGTAAGGAAACACCAGCAGCTGACTGGCACACAGGAAGACAGAGTTCATGCTTCACTATTTGTAACGGTCAAAGTGAGGAAAAGATCATGATGCATTGTGTTGCTACATTTACTGTTTGTGGGGGAAAGGAGCCAACTCTGAAGCCATTTCTATCTCAGTGACTAAGAGTAAACACGTCATAAAGCTAATTTAGCGTCATATCTGTGAGTTTGTAATGCCAGTAAGTTGTAGATATTTTAGTCATGTCCCTTACTGCAATGGTTCTTCAGATATCACCAGACAACTTGATGAATCCTAAATAAAGGTTGCAGTGTTATAGCAGCAACTATACATACATCCCCAAAACAGTGAGATAGGGAAATAACAATAAAATATATAATTACATATTATCATGACAAAAAAAGAGAGCAGAGATTAACCTGTAGCTATATACTGTATACACACAGAGGTTCAGGTGATGTTCAGGTGATCTCCATGAGAGAGTAGAAGTAAAAGTAGTAGTAAAAAAAAATAATGTACCTGTCAACAGCCAAAATAGAAACACTTTAAAGCGGTTTTATCTACTGAGAATATTTGACCTTGCATTCTTCGACTGATTTGTTTTTCTGGTGGCCAGGCTCTGGAAGAAGGAGCGGCTCAAGCAGCAGAAGAAGAACGAAGACGGCTTCAGACCCAGACTGAACTCCAGGACCGCTACAGGATGGACCTGGAGAGAGAGAAAATGGTAAGTGGGCCCGTCATCCTCCGCTGAGTCATTATGTCGAAACAAGTAATGTAGCAAGAGCAACCTGACGGCAAGTTTTTATGTAGAAGTATCAGGGTAAGTGAATTGACGAGAGAACAACTTGAAATAGATTTAAACTGATGAACCGCTACAGCTCATGTTGAGGGTCATTAAACAATGTTTCTGCACAGTCTTCAAATGTCTTAAAAAAAAGGCTAAAATTCAGTTATCTCAATTATTGGCCTTACAAGGTCTGAAAAGATTTTGTACTAGTTTTTAAATATGTTTAGGTAGGTTGTTATTACATTTTTCATTTAACAATATAATCCACTGTTCTTTAAAAAAAGCAGCATGCTTCTTTTAATCATCATTCATTAGGTCAGTAATTCATTATTTGATCTATACAAGATCAGTAAATAGTAAAAATATCTGTTACAGTTTCTCAGAGGTTTGGGTGAGCAACATTAATTTGTCATTTGGCAGTGTAATAAAAAGAAAATTGATTTTCATAAGCTTGAATTTTGAATTGATTATTAAAATTGTTGATTAAAATGTACCTGATCATCACAGGCGGATTTGCATTTGTGTACACTGTATAAATTACACACTCTATCACACAAGGGTGAAATTAAAAGGGTAAGCAGAGGAACGAGGCAGCTGATTTATTCCGTTACTTGTTCAATAAAAGTGTTCCCCAGGAGTATTTATATAAATTATGTATTTAATAATAATACACGTTATTTGTATAGCACACTTCATACAAGAACTGCAGCTCAAAGTGCTTTACATACAATATTGTTAAAAATAACATGTTAATAAATGTATGAGAACAGTAAAATGTGACATTTAAAAGAAAAGGAAATAAAAACAGAAAAAAAATGCATAAAAAGGAAAAAGTGATTAAAAATCATAAAATCACAGGAGTGCGGGCAAGTGTAAGATCCAGGTAAAGGCTGAAGCAAAGAGACATTTTTTAGTTTAGATGTTTACCGAGCCAGCTTCTCCGATATCTATCTCCCGTTTCACAACTTTGGAGCGTAATTTACAAAAACTGTATCTCCGATGTTCTTTTGGCCGTTGTTCTCAAACAGACTTTCTGCAGATGATCTCAGTGATCCATTCAGAGCCTCGTATGTAAGGAGGAGAACCTTAATGTCCGTCCTGTGTGTAACAGACAACCAGGGCAGAGCAGCTAGAACTGATGTGTTCTGTCCTCTTGGTTCTGGTTAACAGCCGAGCAGCAGAGTTCTGAATGAGCTGGGGTCGCTCTATTGTTTTCATTGAGAGGCTGGAAAAAGTGCATTAAAGTAATCCAGTGTGCGAGAAATTAAAGCATGAATCAGCTTTTCAGCATCTGTGTGAGTTATAAATGGCTGAACCGTTGCTCTGTTTCTGAAGTGGAAATATGACATATTGGCCACCTCGTTAATGTGGGCCGCGAAACTCAGATCTGAGTCTAAGATAACACCTAGACTAGAATTTAATCCAAGGAGTTAGCTGACCCAGATAATTCTTCCAGTATTTCTCTCTTTGCTCTGATTGAGATGACTTTGTGATTGAAGAAAAGTTGAAGGAAACGGGGTGTTATTGAAATGTTCAATGATGTCATTTAAAGAGCGGCCATGACTGTATGGTTCCGTTGATCTTATTATATCACAGGACGTCAGCCTGCTCATTAAGGATTCTCTTGTCAACCAGAATTTCTCATTTGGTCTTTGCAATGGTTATAGTGACATCATAAAATACACAAAGATGATTAGAGATAAGTGATTCACACACTGAAACATTCTCCATGTTCAACCCTCTTGTTATCACAAAGTCCAGGGCGGTTACCATGGTGATGGATGGCTTCCTGTACATGATGGGTCAGCTCAAAGCCCTCAAGTAAATGAATAAGCTCAGTAGCTTTGGGATCATTCTTGTTATCAACATAATTATAGTTCCTTCAGAAATAACAGTAAAAACTTTGGTGCCTGATATACTGTGATCATTAAAACAGATAATTTTGCTTAGAGCTCAACAGCTAAATATTCAAATGATGTGAATTCTGCCAGGTTAATGTCACTGCAGACCAACTGTGTGGAATAGATCACTGCGACCCCTCCCCCTCTTTTGTTTTGTCTTGCTGACTGATAAAACTCATAGTTTGGAGGACAGGTCTCAGCCATGTCTCAACCAGGAGCACACAGTCTCATCATGGACTGTTGACTAGGAATGATTTGTTGGCCAAAGATCTGACATTAAGAAAAAGGTAACTTCAGCTGTTGTGAGACCGGTTTGGAAGCTGGTTGTGGCTGAACATGAACAGTTCTAAGATTACTGAGACATGTGCCAGGTCGTCTATCATTTTCTTTGAACCATGTCACCGGCATGTTGGAAGAAGTGTCATGGGGCTGGTCTCAGTTTGGTTGGACCTTTGACTGCTGATTGTTTCTTATCTAATAAGAGACTGTTTCAGTGCAGCAGCTTTAATCAATTCCCTGATCGGTGATGGATTTTATATGAATTCCAGGTTAATTACTGCTGTGTTTCTTTCTACAGGTACGGCAGCAGATGGAGGAGCAGGTGGCCCAGAAGTCCACTGAGCTGGAGCAGTACCTGCAGCGGGTCAGAGAGCTGGAGGACATGTACAGTCAACTGGAGGACGCTCTGGAGGACGAGAGACGAGCCAGACAGGACGAGGAGGCCGTCCGTAGGCTACAGGCACGGTCAGTCAATGAGGAGTAAAGGTTGCATTAAATATCTTTAATAATATATTTAGCAACTACAGAGAAAAAACATTTCTAGAAAGGAAGTCAGGGTTATAATGTGGTAATTCAGTCAGACCAACAGAAAAACTCTGTACTTTCTGTTTAAACTCTCAAATATCAAATATATTATCATCGTAATTTAAAAATCCTGGATCCTTATGATTCTAATGAATGAATCACAGCAGCAGTTTTCATACCTGCATGGTTCACTGTGATTCAACCCAATAACACTGAACTCTATGAAGTCTGTTAGTTCATGAACAAACACACACTTGGTGAGGTTAATGTCACATTTTGCAGCAGTTCATCATTAGGGCTTTCCTCATCTGATGGTGTATTATTTCAATTTGACATTTACTGCACAGTAAACGGTCTCTAATGGGGTTACAACATAAGACCACCTCCAAACTGTCTGCTCCTCTGTTTTATTACACATGCACACACAGCCAGACGTTTAACTTCTACTTCCCTCTCTCCACCATGTTTCCTCCCTAGTCCTTCCTTCCTCTTTGCTGACATTTACTTTCCACCACATGTTTGATGAAGCTGTAAAGAACATGTTCGCAGCACTGTGTTGACCAGCGTTCACAATAAACAGTCCTTTATCTTCATGTACGCCAGTTGTTGATTCTTTCATTAAAACTAATACAAACTCTGTGCTAAAGATGACTACATATTTACCTTTATTCCCATACTCTTAAGATTAAAGAACTTAACCATAGTAAATAGTTGCACCAGCACCACCTGCTGACATGTTGTCCAACTACAACAACCTATAACGTCTAAAATAGTTGATAATTGTATTTAATGGACAGAGGAAATATGTCTGTCACACATTTAGTGACATTTGGTACTCACCTTGATATTGTTATATTAAATGTGTTTATACCTGACGGTTCGTTATATATACAGGTCATGTGTGCATGTATCCTCATTTACATGATTATACCCCTCAGCATCAGTGTTTGTGGAAATGAGAAGCATGTCTCTACTAAATGTCTTATATTTAAAGCATGTGACTTTCCCCTCATCCATGTTAATGTCTGTGTGGAGCAGGTTACTGGAGGAAGAGGCTACAAAGAGGGCAGAGCTGGAGCAGATCCATCTGCAGCAGCAGCTGGCCATCTCAGAGACGGAGGCTGAGAAACAGGAGCTGGAGAGGGAACGTCAGGCTAAAGAGAGCGCCCTGCAGGCTGCGATGACACAACTGGAACAACTGGAGCAAGAGAGACAGGGTGCCCTGGAGCAGTACCAGGTCAGCGAAGAGACTAATTGTGTCCTAAATCAAATCACAGTTAATTAGATCACTAGGGACCTGCCTAGGATCTCTGGAGAATTGGGAGTGTGGAAGATTCTCCGCTCAGACACATTCACACTGGCAACGAATCCTCTGCAGTATTCAGGTGTGCTGTGGGGCAGCAGGCAGAGGCAGGATGTAATATTTCTGCTGCGGAGATGACGTGTTTTTGTTATATATCACAAACTTTCTTGATATCTCCATCAGTGTCTTCTATGTGGATGACACTTTATCATCTTGAGATATTTGTTTGTCTTTTTTGCATTTTTGCATTTGTTGCATATTAGAAGCATCATCAACTCCCACACTCGCTCGTGGTGAATCCTGCAGAGGATCTACAAATGATTCACATTCAGACTTATTGGGGACTCTATACTAGGGGGTCAGGTGGAGAAAGTCCACAGAAACTCACTCTGACATTTGGGTTCACACACACATACTGTGTAATATATATATATCACTATAAGATGCAGCTATTGAGACATAACAGAACATCGAAACAAGGTTCCCAAAGTACTGTTCTTAAATCTTACAACTACATGCTTTCAGGGAAGAAAACAACAGTTTATATTTTATAACTTGATAATAACTGCAGTGTTTTGACTATGGTTCTGTGCATGAGACAGACGGTGATAAAGAAACTGGAGGACGCAGCCAACAACACAAAGACCTGGAAGCACAAGGTGGCTGAACATGAGGGCTTTTTACGGCTCATTCAACCAGGTAACAAACACACACTTTCTGCTTGTAGTACTTTGTAAAACTGAAGGGATAAACCTTTCTCTAAATGGCTATGTGTCAAGAAGTGTTGATAAAACCAAACACTCGTCCTCGAACCTCGTTCTTCTGTTGGATAGAATAGTTGTGTTTCATACATAACAATAGCTCTGAAATAGCTTCGCTACCGAGAAGATGTGGAGAATCTGATGTGTGAACACAGCAGGTGGTCCACCACTGGACTCACAGGGAGCGAGTAGCTTCTAACATGTGACAGACGCAAAAATGAAAAAACCCCAAAAGAAAACAAATATCAGCAACAAAAAGCAGTGACACACGTGTAGAAAACACAGATGAAGATGCCTAGAGAGTTTGTGGCGATGAGAGCTGACATTGTGTGTGTTGTCAAGAAAATCTTGTGATCTCAACAACGGAGTTGATAAGTTACTTCCTGCACCGCCTGCTCCACCTCTCGCCTGAATAATGCAGAGGATTTGTTGCTGTTGTGAACGTGTGAGAACCTCCTGCTGTGTTGTGCATGTGTGAAAAGCAAACTGCTGGTTAAGGCCGGACCTATTCTCCGGACTTTATCCACAGGTCATGTCTGAAAACAGCTAGATTTTCAATTGGCTGGAGATCTCATTTAGAGAAGGTTGTTTCCTACAAAGTAACAAGATGACTTTAATACACATACCTGTTTGTCCTTTTGGTAAGAATTTTAAATGGCTGCAAATTTTCTACAGTTCCTTCAGGTAAAGTTTTTGCTTGCAGTTATGTTTAGTCTTAAATCTTGAATAACTTTACATTCTAACAAAGCTTAATGTAATAACATTCACTTCTATGTGTTTAAATCTGGTTGTGTAACCACTAATCTCTGGTTTAATTATTCTGTGTAAAGCACTTTGAATTCCCTTGTTGTTGAAATGTACAAATGAACTTGCGTGATTTTGAAATGTACTCCAGGATACACGAGTACAATATGACATTACCTTTGTCCTCTTTTTCACATCCTTTTTTAATCTTTGAATAAAGAGATGACGTTCTTCTGCGTCCTCTGTCCCTCAGCTCCCTTCAGACCTTTGTAATCTCTCTTTGGGTTTGTCCCTTAGGCTACAGCTAAGTGTCAGCGTAGTTAATATTATTTTAAAGTCCTTACTTATTTCCTCTGACCACAAGTGATCTGAACAACCAGGCTCAGGTCTTAGGTGGTAATTACATTAATAACCTTACCTCCAAGTTCTTTAAATCAGGCTCACTGCCATTACCCACTGTTTAATACTAAAAAATTAGATTAAAGCATCAAACTATTTGTCCAGTTGAAGTTTGAAAGTTCACTCAACCTCACAGTGTCATAGAAATAAAGTTCACAAAATGTTCTAGTCCACCTTGAAGGATATATCCGTCTCGGGTCCATCATCTCCTGTCCTGTTTTGTTCTCCAGGTTCCAAGGGACAGAGGTTGATCACTAACTGGGGCCCAGCAGCCTTTTCTGACGCGGAGCTCAACCTGAGGGAGAAGAAGTGGAAGGACACGAAGAACCAGACAACACAGGCTCAGTAGAGGCTGAACCTTAGACATGTTGACACCTCAGAGGAGATGAAGAGAGACTGCTGGGATATATAGACATTAATGAGAGAAACATTTTATGGTAAAGGTTCAGTGTGTGAGATTGAGGTGTGAAATGGATCTATTGACAGAAGTTGAATGTAAAATAATCCTAGTGATGTTTTATCTAGTGTTTCATCTAAATTGTACAAATTGTTGTTTTCTTCACCCTTGAATGGGCCCTTTATATCTCAGTACTTTACATTTACATCAGGAGCGGGTCCTCCCTACGGAGGCAGCCATGTTTTTTACATTAGTCCAAAGTGGACAAACTTAACACCTTTTGAGTTTTTATGACAACTGAAGGCTTCCATAGCTTCTCCTTCGTGTTTGGAAGGTGAGGTTGAGGTGAGGGGTATTCAGCTGCAACATGCAACTTCACCACTAGATGTCACAAAAGTCCACACACTGAACCTTTGAGGGGCATTAAGTCAGGAAGTTTATCCCTTTTATGAATTTTTAGTGTTGACCTTTAAACAAGTAGCTGTCTGTTTAGAATGCCAGATCAATGGAGCAGTCACATTTTCCCATTGTGCAGTAATTTTTTTACAGAAATCCTACAAAAAAAGAGAACTGATTACAGGAATTAAATGGACGTGTGAGGTGAGTTCACTTTAGTATTTAATACTGATGTTTAACCCTAATTTAGCGAGCACATATGAATATGCAGAGGAAATAACAAAAAAGTGCCTTGAACCTCTTCATTTTTCAAGAGTTTAGCATTTAATCTTTTGCAGAACCAGCAGCCAGAGGCTACAAGTATATTCATACCTCAGTGAGTGTCCATGCAACTGCCTTTTTTATTTTCCTCTACTTAATCCGGACTGTCTGTTTGAACTCTATCAATGCACTACATTTGGTCCAACACAAACAGTTTTAAGGTGTTTTAAGTATCAGGTTGTTGTTGAGTTAATCAACAATTGTTGGGGCCAATTGTTCAATAGATTTTATCCGGATAAAAGTAATCCAGATTGGATCAAATCCTGAAAACAGATTGTTCCAAAGAGAAAAAAGGGATTCTGAAATCTGATTAGATTATGTAGTCTAATTTTGGTTTTAATCTGGATCAGGTTGGGCTGGTCAAAACGTTTAGGTAGGATAGGGATACATTTGATCCTAAAAAGATGGATTATTCTGATCCCAGGAGAAGGGTGGATTCAGAGGGGATTTTGACAACACATAGAGTAAAGTAGAGTTGGTATTAGGTAGATAGAGTAGAGTAAAGTAGAGTTGGTATTAGGTAGATAGAGTAGAGT